GATGTGACCATATTTCTAACTACGGCACTGATTACATTATCACGTCTTTACAATTACGCTACACAAAAACAAGTATGAACTTGATCTTTTGTGAAGAAAACGTCATGCACCATGTTTCCGCTGTAAGAACCATAATTTGTAAACTAAAAAGGTCAAACTTTTATACCTGACAAGGTTATAATATGCGTATAATATATTTCTGAGAAGAATTGTTCTAGGATGGGCAGGTTTACGTTGAGCAATTTGGCCGAAGTAAGATGCGTTTAGCGAAGCTTATTTCAACGGGATCTATGACAAAATACTTCGAAAATAACATTAACGTGAGGTTATTTTTCAGAAGTACAAGATTAAAAGGGCTTTATGTTTCGTGCTTAATGTAACAGCTGATGCCATATGAAACGTAATTAAGAGTGAACTACAGATTCCTGTAAAAATTATTTCAACAATACATATAACATATAATAATATGTATACAAGCACTAGGTTCAACAACCAGTTGTTCATGCAATTAATGATATAAATACCAACCGGCCTGACTAGCCATGATATTCATCGAAAGGCCTCATCTGCAATGGATATAACAGCTATAGTGCGTGTTTCACATATTATTACATTATTATTTAATTTCGTACACAAGTTCTTATACTGATTACAAACCAAGTTAACATTGTTTGGTTGGTCAGTTTTACATGTTAAATTGCAAGTTCACCAACTGGTAACTTGTGTCTATTTTTGCACATTTAACACCATTTTGTGGTTTAGTTTACACAAGCAAATATCATATACACAGTTACTATAAGATTCTTACATTGTTTTTCATAATAATTTCAATATGTTTAAAAGAACCATCCAAGATTCACGAAGCTTGGACGTTTGGCTCCTCCAGCGAAAGAAAGGTTTACAATTAGCCCTACATAAAAATGTTTAATATTTCAATTAAAGTACCATTTGCACATTATTCACCAAAATTAAATGTTACATTTGAAACCGAAAAAAAAATTGCTCAGACAAATACATTGCCGCAATTTTCGCAAAACATATAAATGATGAAGTTTGACGTTTATCAGTATTAGGCACTAGATGCCATTAATTCTTTACAGTGTTGCAGGATAAGTTCACAATATCTTTTTTCGTGCTTTTGAACAACAGAAAAATGAAATAGAATCCTACATTCAAGTCATGAGAATATTGAAAGCATGCAAGCCATATTTTGCAATATTCTTTCTTTTACAAGTGGGCTTTTGCCCACCAGTTGTCCTCCTGATGTTATAACTCAGTTTACTTTAAATTTCGATGGGTTCTCTTCAACTTTAATAACACTACTACACTAAGATAGGAATGATTTTGTTTAAATATCCGCCTGTACCAATAATAGAGAAAAAAAAGAACGGATCTTAATAACATTACAATTTATATGAAGGACAAAAAATAACGTTATCTTCCTGGTCGTGGTAACTTCTAAGCACAACGTGTATATCCAGAATGTACAATACAAGTGAAGAAAATACGTAAAAATGGATAGTGAAGCTCAAAAACGCCGTTAAAGTACGTGTACCTAGATAAGAAGTACCTATCACGTATCACAAGAAAGGCAATATTATTTGGAAATATTTGTGCAAAAGAAAAACTAAGCTTTTGTCACTACAATACAGGTATCGTAGTTTCATATATAATTATTTTGAGCTTGATATGAACACATACGTAAGGTATACTACGAAATAATGCAACGGTCGTGGTTCTGTTACAATAGTCGCAATTATTTTTTCATATACAGTATTATATCGTGTTTCGACACAATACAGCAGCACCTTGTTCTTGTCACAATAGTCACTATTAATTTACATTATGTGACAAGTACAATAGATATCTCGCACTTCGATAATACAGCAGCACCATGGTTCTGTCACAATAGGCACTATTAATTTACATTATGTGACAAGTACAATAGATATCTCGCATTTGGATAATACAGCAGCACTATGGTTCTGTCACAATAGTCACTATTAATTTACATTATGTGACAAGTACAATAGATATCTCGTATTTGGATAATATAGCAGCACCACGGTTCTGTCACAATAGTCACTATTAATTTACATCATGTGACAAGTACAATAGATATCTCGTATTTGGATAATATAGCAGCACCATGGTTCTGTCACAATAGTCACTATTAATTTACATTATGTGACAAGTACAATAGATATCTCGCATTTCGATAATACAGCAGCACCATGGTTCTGTCACAATAGTCACTATTAATTTACATCATGTGACAAGTACAATAGATATCTCGTATTTGGATAATATAGCAGCACCATGGTTCTGTCACAATAGTCACTATTAATTTACATCATGTGACAAGTACATTAGATATCTCGTATTTGGATAATACAGCAACACCATGGTTCTGTCGCAATAGTATCTATTAATTTATACTATATGACAAGTAAAACAGATATCCCATACTTTGATACAATACAGCAGGACCATGATTTTCACAATAGTCAATGTTAACTTTACCGTTTGGCTGGTATCATGCACATCGATACATTACAGCAGCACCTTGTTCCTATCCCAATACATACTATTCATTAATCCAACGTGGCAATTAAGCACGAAATGTATTTAATACAACTTTTTATAATTAGAACAGTAATATTTCAATACTGTTTTCAATCTGTTGATTGACATATTACAACGACGTTTAGTGTTCATCAACTTAAGTTGTTACTTTGTCCAATTAAGGATATTAAAACAAATAGTCAATCATTTTATTCAGTCACTTGATAACGATTACAAACCAGACTGTAAGAAAGTAACTCTCGGAACATGTTGTTCCAGAAGCTGCACAAATTATATTCACTTGCAAGAACTGACTCGTTTATATCCTCACATGACGGTATTTCTGGTTACCCCTTGCTTTCTAGTGTTAATTCCTAAAAGGAAAACTACTAGTGCATTAGAAACTCAAATTTGGTAGTTGCAGCTCATTCTTAAATTATTCAAGAATATTTAAGACGAATCTCCAAATTGGATTTGTTAACATTCACAACAGACCTAAAATGCTAACATAAAACAGAGATCAAAGCTCGTTTGCTAACATTTAAAGCATAGCTCTAACCTTCTTATGAACGCTCTAAGCTTGTATGATACATTCAACTCAAACGTCTGGCGATTTTCCCGTTTGTTTGTGCTTTTATCTAGAAATATTTTTTGTGCCGATTTGATTTTTTTTTCTACAAAGTCAAAATTAAAGCTATTCGCTAGGATGTTATTGTTATACATCGTGCCAGTTTTATGAGAATACACACTTGCTATAGAGCATTGAACCTAGGAAGGAAACAAGCCGATTAGTTGGTAATGGGTTCAGTCAGACTCGGATCTATTTAGCATGACTTGAATCATAACCGCAATGTTTAATATTATTGTTTTTGTACTTTTTATTTCATCCTAAAGTAGTATTGTATATATCAAATAACTCTGCGTTAGTAAACCTAGTACATTCAAAGTTTAAAATAAACACAGAAAATTGCTTATGTACTTACTATTCACGTGTTGGTGTAGTTTCCTAATCAAACTTACACTAGTTCTGCCACTCTGAGCACGTACAAAAACACATTGTGACTACACACAGTAAATATGATAAATGACAAGACGTCTTCATACCTTCGAGAGCTAACAAGAAGAAGGAAAACGTTCCTTATTTAAAAATTATATCACCATTTTTTCACGTCTCAATATCAAGTTTCATAAGTGAAGCAAGGCCTTATAAAAAGAACTAACAAAAGCCAGGAGAAGTAACAACACTGTATATAGGAAATAGTAAAGGCGACGTAAGATTGTTTAATTATTTTTTTTACTGACACAAATACTTTATAAAATACTATAGCTAACACTATTCAACTGGAACTTTTAGTACACAAAACTCAGTAGTGGTAGTAGTAATAGTGAATTCAGTCATGTTATCTAGGACTAATATCTCGCATAACAAGCGTGTAGATATAAAACTTTTGGTTGGTCAGGGCTACTCATTGTTTCCGTAATAGCTGCATGCAACATTCAAACTAGCAATATCAGTAACAGAAATGGTCAAGGTAGAAAAACCGAACATTCCTAAAAGGGATGTTACATATATCAGGGTATGTTCTTTGCATTGTAGACAATGGTTAGGTAAAGATTTTGCCAACGATCTTGCTGTAAATAAGAGCATCGGACCAAAAACAATGGAGTAATAAAAGGAGGCGTGTGTTCTTCACGGATGAATCCAACTTCGTATTGTTTGTCAACAATCAATGACAGTTTGACGGTGGAGAGCAGAACAGTAACATAGTCAATGTACGGCATCTACGGTGAAGCTTTATGGAGGATCAGTACAACTTTGGGGCTGCATCTCAGTCAACAGTGTCAGTGATCTTATCCAAAGTTGATGGCATGTTGACTGCTGATAAGTACAGGTAGATTCTAATTCAACATTTCATTGCCTCAGAAACACAAATTATTAGGGAAGAATTCATATTCCAGGATGACTATGATCTCCAACATATATCAAATGTGGTGAAACGATATTCTGACAGTATCGAAGCCGATGAAACACTCAATCATGGCTTCACACACAAAATCCTGGTATAATTTTTTTGTCTTATATAAAAAAAACTGTATTTAAAGGCAATCAAACAACTTGTTTGTATTGTGGGGAGTACAATAGAGCATTTGGAACAACATTTCAAATCCTAAATTGATAAACTGTATGGTAACACAAAAACAAGACGTATGACTTATTATCTATGCAAACGGCTCTCGTACAACTTATTTACGGTTCTTTTGTATTTATGTAATAATGTTTTATATCATTAATAAATTAGCCACTTGCTTGCAATTACTCAGTGTTTGTAGCTTTGTATTAACCGTGCATAATCACATACACTCACTGCGTGAAAACAACTCAACTTCGTCTTTAATAAAACCTTGAAAACAATTACTGAAGGATATGCACTTACCGAGAGCGCGGTGGTTTAACAGTAGGCTCCTCGATCACCTTGTAATTTTCCTTGTGTTTTAACATTTCTTTGATCGAGCACACCGGAAATCAATTCAACCCAACGTTCAACGACGAAGAAAATTACTGTACTAAAAGCACATCAAATGTTTATTTTTATTCCGCGATTAAGAACGTGATCTTTTTTTGAAGCAGCTTATAGTCTAGAAAAAGTGTTTGGAATATGAATATCAACCAAACGCAAACACATAACATTCTCTATAAGCAATTTATTGTACAACAAAACGAACCAACGTCTTTCGAATATCAAAATTTGTTAATACAGAACCGCTCTACATATTATTCGAGACGCTTTTAGTGTAAAGTTTATCCGAGTTTGTCATTCTCAGTAACACAAGTAGATGTTTGTCTAGTTGCTGGCACGTTTGTCGCTCACATCTGCGTCTGCCACTTCAAGTTGGATGCTCGGTTTAGTGACCGAGTTATGTATAAACTCGTATGACTTACCAAGCAGTACAGTACAGGAGATTTTTAGTAGTCATACGTCACATGCTAAAATCATGAAATCACCCAGTATGAGACTGACTGTTAAAAGAACTGTTAAATGGAACATTATAATTTAAACCAGAAAACTCCTATGTTCTAGAAAACACAGGACGCAGACTGAGAACCCACAACAACATCGTTACATTTGTAAAAAATCCAGAACTTTTTTCTTTGTATGTGGTTGTAACTGTATACGAAGAAACCCTATGATGTTTATCACCTTCGGCTACTAGAAACTGAAACCTCTGGCTATCTGGTTTAGTATAGTTATGTGGAAGTAAACATTACTGATTACAGGAGCTATTGTTGCATCTTACATAGAAAAGACTATTATGAACTGAATGATCACATCACTGAACACTCAAACACGTGGGCTAGAACAACCTACAACTTCACATCATGTCACTGTTTCAATAAACACGACTGCTTACATCTCTCCATTGGTGCCTTCCGCATGCGTAGGTGCCATTCAACAACTTGGGTTTTGGTTGATCCCAGATAAAAAAAAAAAGTACATTTCCCGAGGCAATATTTAAAACCATGAGCTTGTTTACATTACTTCAATAGTTGGCGTTGGCCCAGTTTCTTATTCGACACAGGTAGGTACACATGCCTTATTTTTACTAACAGCTATTAAGTATGTTGACGAAATTATCTAGCAGTTTCTGCAAGTTATTCACGGGCTGAAAATTTATCGAACCCTAGCAACGTGCATAAACCCACAAGTGATCATGAAGAGTTGGGATAAATTGAAAGCGAAGACTATTTCAACAGAAATCAGAGTGGGAAGTAAAATACTGCAGGGATAAGAATAGGAACTTAAATACTTCTTTAAAAGGATCAGATTGGGTACTGAAATATAATGTTAATCAGGAATCAAGGATGGTGCTCCGAGAGGTGATTAACCAAGGTCGGCGCTTGAGGAGGGGGGCATGGGGTCCAACATCCTGAAATGTCGTTTCACCCACACCCCCAAGCTAATGCTGTCCATTAATCTACTTTCAAATTTATTTTAGATTTGGACCCAAGAAACACTGGATCCGGAACTGTGACTAATCAGGAATAATAATGGGAGGTGAAATATTTCTAGGTGTCTATTTGACCAGCCGCTGGTGAAGTCATTCATGAAATTAGTGTTATTTGACCATGGAGTATCAGCCAATAGGATGAGATTTTGCAACTTACGCCATATGACGTAACAATTAAAACAAGCAGACTCGAAACCGAGAATTTAGTGTCGTATCAGTTACTTTCCAGCTATTTCGGTCTACCTTAAGAGTTTTCTCGCTACATTTTTTTTTTTTAGATATTTTTAAAACTCGATTTTAGTCATTGCATGTGAAATTAGGAAGTTTAAGGATTAGAGTGAATTTGAAGTTTTCCTTGAAGAAATGTTTAACTTAAACATTGGGTTAAGCATTAACTGCAAAACAGTTGAAAAGGCTAATCATCGTATGAGGTGTCTTTTAGGAAGATTTCTAAATAGTTTGTTTGTTTTGAATTTCGCGCAAAGCTACACGAGGGCTATCTGCGCTAGCCGTCCCTAATTTAGCAGTGTAAGACTAAAGGGAAGGCAGCTAGTCATCACCACCCTCCGCCAACTCTTGGGCTACTCTTTTTACCAACGAATAGTGGGATTGCCGTCACATTATAACGCCCCTCAAGCTGAAAGGGCGAGCATGTTTGGTGTGACGGCAATTTGAACCATTGACCCTCAGATTGCGAGTCAAGCGCCCTAACCACCTGGCCATGCTGAGTTCTATATAACAGTTGTTGGCCCAATGGGGTTGGATGTTCGCACTATTTTAACATTCAAATAGCCTAGACCGAAATGTGTCAGAGATGGATAAGTGGGTGACGAAATATTCCCGAGATGGTTAAACAGGTCTGAGTTGGTGCTGAAATATTTCCAAGAGATCAAATTCGATGACGAGGAACCCACTTTGAGACTAATAATGGCTGGAGACGGCTTGAATGGGTAATGAAGAAAAACTTTAATGATGAGTTTAACATAACAGCAAATGTACAACGTTTCGACAAGGTTTTGTCATCATCACCATTCAGGCCGTCTCCAGCCATTATTAGTCTCAAAGTGGGTTCCTCGTCATCGAATTTGATCTCTTGGAAATATT